TTATAATTTTATACATACGATGCGCTTGAGATGCTTTCATTGTTTCTACCATAGAAAAAGGAGTTAATATCATGTCTATAGACATGATATTTTCGATAGACTCATAAGACAAATATGGTTGATCTTCGTGTTTCATTCATCTTTGTATCATGGTTGATCTTCGTGTTTACGTACAGTGTTGCCATAAAAGTTCCTGACCATAAATTACAAAATACTAAAATAATAATAAAAATGTAACAAGATAGAATAAAATAATTGTGCATATTTAGTAAATATACAATATTATTTACTGAAAATTTCTTTTATTATTATTTTGATAGAAATTTGCAAATCACCCGCAAATATTATGAAATTACCCGATTTTCGAGTAAAATACTTGCAAACGGCAACACTGTGTCCCACTGACAGGTCAGCTGTGCTCTAATTGGTCAGCTAGCTAAGCTGGTCTCTCGATATTACTGTCTGTTGGCTGAACTAAGGAATTTTGTTGTTTAGATATTAAAGAATTGTCGTACTGTGTGCTTTTAAAACAGATTTTATATTATAAATAATACTAGTATATAATATGTACTAGTATTATTTATAATATAAAATCTGTTTTAAAAGCACACAGTACGACAATTCTTTAATATCTAAACTACAAAATTCCTTAGTTCCGCCAACTTAGAGTGGACAGACAGTACGTCTATTGTTTGTATCAATCTTTAGATAGGTAAATATTTGCGGGAGCAGCTCATTGCATCGAAACTCAATAGATCGAATCTCGCCAGATCGAAAATTTACATGACCTTCGAAGCTCACCAGATCGAAAATGTGTGGCATCGTCGCACTTTAAACATCAAATTGGTAAGGTTTGGTTCACATTTTTCATTAGGAAAAAGCGATTTTTCTTAAATGCAAACAAAGTTCGATCTGGGATATGCCTGTAGATGTATAGTAGTTTAAGCAACAAAATTTAAAAAGATATTTATTCTTAGGTAGGTACTTTAAAATGGTAATTTGTATTTATATGAATACTTGAAAACATTGACAAGTGATGTTGTATTTTTATTCTATGGTTGTAAGAAGTGATTTTGACATGTAAGTTTAAAAATATTTTTTATAATAAAATTAAGTTTTTTTTGTAGAATTCCAATTACCTATTCAAAGTTGAAAGTAGAAACAGTTGGTCAATTTAGGATAGATTTGTAGCATGACCATGTCAGCATCGCCAACCAGTCCTTTAAACATTTTAAATTTTGAAATAATAGAATTAATATCTTAGATGACCTTTTTATGTATAATTTGATGAGTATGCACTTAATATCTATTTTAAATGTGTGTTTTACTAAATATTGTATGTTTTCAGTACCTCCTGAGGATGCCGAAAGGTGAAAGTAGTCAAGATAATTAAAAAATAAAAATATCCATGATGCGAAATTGTCACCGACACTGAGTTAGACAAAGGAGAGAAACATACAAGATCTTTTATGTATCCTTCGAAGGATAGCTATCCTAGTATGTGACAAGGGGTGAAACAGAATTGACAAAACTGAAAACATGACTCCTAATCGATGAGTTGCCAGTTGGTACAAAATTATGCAACCAAGCACACATACACGTATGCTTTGTTGCTTGATTCTTCCAAAACGGCCATGGTGAAAAAAAGTCGGACATCATGTTTTGTGTGCCATTGGGTCCTGTTTGCTTATAAGAACTTCTTAAGAGGGCTTATTTAACTGTGTACAGTTTAAAACGTAAGTATTTTGTTTAATTGTCAGCTTTTTAGCAAACCTTGGTTTTCTATTACTGAAGTCCAGTTGGTTCATAAAAAAGAATAATTCGGTTATTAACTTGTGGCAATACAAATAAAGCAATATTATAAACTTGTCAGTGTTCTAAAATATATTAGTAAAAATTATAATCAATACTTTACAAACAAAATTATTTGGAATGAAAAAATATTAGAAGCAGTTTAAATTGTTAATAACAACAATTTGTTATGTTTTATTTCAAATGTTAAATCTTATAGGTTTGTTACCTTATTTTTTAACCAAAGTTTACTAATTATTATTATAGTCATTGCAATAATATTGTAACATAATTATTAATAGCCACATAAAATTTTTTGAATAATGTGTACATTTAAATACATCCATTTAGATACATAAATGAGAAAAATGCATCCAAAAAGAATTTAACAGTGGAACATTTTAAAAAATTTTAAAAAAGGTAGAATTTTTTAAATTTAAATTTCATCAGTGTTAATGTCTGTTATATTATTGTTTTACCAAAAATTGCCCAATATATTTTTGCTTTAAATTTTATGTTAATTAAATTTTTAATTTTTAAAAGGAGTTGGAATATGGAAGCCATGGGACACCAACCTGAGAATATAAACTGAATGCAATTAAAGTTGGAATATGAAATGTATAGGTATAACACTACCCTAAGAACATAAACCTTACATAAATGCAACACAACCCCCAAGTTTGAATAAGGAATCCATTGTACACCAACAGGCAGACATAAACCCTACTTAAGTAGGCTACATAATATTTATCCATATTATGGATATTATGTGCCACTATCCTAAGAACATAAACCAAAATATGTCAAAAATTTTGTACTGCATTTTTTAATATCTTCAAGTTAAAGGATAACATAAAAGTTAAATGATATGCATATTCTTATTAATAAGAATATGCATATCATTTAACTTTTATAAGGAAATAATAAATCATTACCTATATTAAATTTTTTTTTTTTAAATACTAAACAATTAGGTACCTATATTTTATTATTAATTTATTTTTGTAAAAGTAACTTTTTATTATTAAATTTGCTTTTACTACTCTTTTTTGTAAGTTATAGAGTTTTTTAAGACTGATGGACTTTTTTGTAGGTAATGCAGTTATTATATCTCTAGATGAAAGTCCAAAATTTTAAATATAATCAATCAAAATTTAAACAAGTTTTCAATATATTAAATACCTTTTTTTGAATCCTATAATATTGTACAAGTATAAATTAAAAACTTTATTTTAAGAGAATTATATAATATTTTTAAACTAATTTATATATAAATTAGTTTTAAAATATAAATTATTAATATATATTAAAAACTGGTTTAAATTTTGATTGGTCATATTTAAAATTTTGGACTTAACGTACTTTGGCTCTGAGTTATAGAATCTATACTATAGATAGATATGTAGATAGACTTAATTTTTTATTTAGTTAGACTCAAGTGATTTTATTAAGTTTTTAGTTAAGGCCAGTTTGTAATTAATTTACTCCAATACACTTTAAAGTGTAAGTAACAATTGTTAACTTCTTTTTAAAGAACATCTTATGTAGTGTTCTGTTAATAATATTATGCTAAGTTAGTATTGTTAACAAACCCCTAATATTGTTAAACCTGTTAAATTCTTAAAAAGATCTTAAATATTCATTCATTATTTTTCATTCATGCATCATTCATTCATCATTTATGCATCATTCATTCATCATTCATTAATTCATAAATATGACGATATATTCTGCAGCAAGCTCTTGTTCATCCTATTGGATTATGTTGCTCCTATCTAAACTGGCGAAGAAGATTCCGAAATTAGCATTGACGCATCCGTAAGTTTATTTTTTATGACCGTGGAATAGGCCTACTGGGGAAACCACGTTAAAAAAAACGCGCCTTGGACTCTACCTCAAGGGTGGTGAGGAAAAGAGTTGATCAAAACATAACTGGAATTTAAGTTTTAACTCATTGTTAATGCTAACATGATTACAGAATCTGTATAACGAATCATTTGGCAGCGACAACAAGGCAAATTTAGAATTAAATCTATCTGTCAAAAGCCCAGCGCCAACTACATGCGGCAGCATCAGCAAATGCAGCGTTAGCCGATGCCTCCGCAGAATTTACCGAAGCACCACCAGAAACCGAGGAATCCTCTGAAGGATCAGCCTGAAGTTTTCCACGAAGAACGTGGCAATACCAGATTTTTTTTTATTTGATTATTTACAGTTTTTTATAATACCTAGGTAACATAATATTTTTGTTTTATAAGAGAAAATAAATATTTTTTATATAATTTTGTATTATAATTTACAATAGAAATATGAATATTCCCACAACAATCCTGTATTTTCTTTCTAAAAATGTTCCCTTATGTAAATCTGAAATAATATGGCTTCAAATCATTTAATCTTTAATATTTTACGTGATATGGATGCCCAGCAAACATTGAGCGTCGGTTAAACGTTGGCCGATTGACTACGGATTATCGGGCCAATGCCGGACGCCAACGTCGATCCGGACCGTAATGCTGGAAACCCATTTGGCCTACGCCACGCCACCCTACGCTACGCTACGGTACGCGACGTTTTGTTATGCAGAAATTTAACACAGGTTTCAATGCAATACGTACTCACTTGTCCCATACCACCCTACACCATGCCACCCGACGTCGAGCGACGTTTCGAAAATCAAATTGTTTTGAATTTTGAAGAGACGTGTGGACGCGTGTTGTCCCCCTCCATGCAGCTTCACACGGAGTGCGCATGTTCTGTAAACAGTTTTCAAACATGGATGAACAAATTATTGAAAAAGTGCGTTCAAATGAGTTCCTGTACAATCAACATTAAAGAAATTTTGTTTTTTATTTATAATAATAGCAACAGCACAGTCCTCTACTTCACATTCCCATTCATCAAATGAAGAACTACTTGCACACTCCATTTTCTTTACCAAAACGAACAATACTAAAACTAATAAGTATATAAAGCCCTTTTATTATTATTTCATAATTTCATAAAGCAATTTTATTTTATTTGTTTGTCATAAGACGTGGCGTAGCGTATTACTAGTGTGTACGGTGACTCGAAAACGTGAGCCCACGTCAGTCGACGTCGAGTAGCATGGCGTAGCGTGGCGTGGGCCAAGTGGGTTCTTAGCTTAAATGACCGCCCGGCCGAAAGCCCAGCCAGCAATCGGCCAATTGGGGGTCCCGATGTCTTACCGATATTTCTCTAGAACTCGATTCTCCTTTAGATGCATATTCTTTACCTTTGCTTTCGTGTATTTACCCTTCAGGTTAATCTGTACAGAAAAACTCAAAGGGTATACCCTATACCTATAGGGTATACCGTTTGAGTTTATATATATATATATATATATATATATATATATATATATCCCTACATTGAAGCAAAGATAATACCTACATCTTTAAATACATCACAGAAAAAAGTAAAAAACTAATTAGTTAAAGCATACCTACTCCATAGAAAAAAAATAACCCTCCATGCCCGGACAACATTCGTGATATTCATACGAACATCAGGTCGTGATTTTCACAAATTTTATTCATACTGATATCATACGGAAGTCACCGCGTGATAAATAAAAATCATACGAATATCACGTCGTGAATTTCACAAATTTTATTCATACGGACATCATCCGGATGTCACTGCGTGAGAAATAAAAATCATGTCGTGATTTTTTATGCCATCGCTGTTTGCGATTGACCGATGGCACAAAAAATCATGTCGTGATTTTTTATGCCAACGGTGTTTGGATAATCATTTTTGCGCCACGTTCGTACACTAAGAGAAAAATTATGTTGAATCAACAGTTTTTGCGGTTAAATACATTTAATATTTTCTTGGATTTAAATTAACTATATATAGTTAATTTAAATCCAAGAAAATATTGAATGTTCAACTGTTAATTCAATTGTTAACATACTTTTTCTTTTAATGTACGAATGTGTCGCAAAAATGAATATCCAAACACCGATGGCATAAAAAATCATGTCGTGATTTTTTATGACCAAATACCGATGGCATAAAAAATCATGTCGTGATTTTTTATGCCATCGGTGTTTGGATATTTATTTTTGCGCCACATTCGTTCGTTGAGAGAAAAAGTATACCTACATAAATATTGAGTCAACAGTTTTTATGGTTAAATAAAAACATTCAATATTTTTTTGGATTTAAATTAATAGTTAATTTACATTCAAGAAAATATTGAATGTATTTAACCGCAAAAACTGTTAATTCAACTGTTAACATAGATTTTCTCACAATGTACGAATGTGGCGCAAAAATAAATATCCAAACATGTCCGAAAATCATGTCGTGATTTTTTATGCCCAAACACCGATAGCATAAAAAATCATGTCGTGATTTTTTATGCCATCGGTGTTTGGATATTTATTTTTGCACCACATTCGTACATTGAGAGAAAAAGAATACCTACATATATATTGAAATAACAGTTTTTGTGGTTAAATAAAAACATTCAATATTTTTTTGGATTTAAATTAATAGTTAATTTACATTCAAGAAAATATTGAATGTATTTAACCGCAAAAACTGTTGATTCAACATAACTTTTCTTTTAGTGTACGAACGTGGCGCAAAAATGATAATCAAAACACCGTTGGCATAAAAAATCCCGACATGATTTTTTATGATATCGGTCAAAAAATCACGACATGATGTTCGTATGAATATCACGAATGTTGTCCTTTTTTAATTGAATTCAATTAAAAAAGATATTCCAATGTTTAACAAAACGTTTTATTAAACATTGGAATATCTTTTTTAATTGAATTCAATTAAAAAAGGACAACATTCGTGATATTCATACGAACATCATGTCGTGATTTTTGACCGATAGCATAAAAAATCATGTCGTGATTTTTTATGCCAACGGTGTTTTGATTATCATTTTTGCGCCACGTTCGTACACTAAGAGAAAAGTTATGTTGAATCAACAGGTAACAAACTAGGTTTTAAATTCGCAGTTCGCAGGGCTATTACGCATGCGCAAATTTTGCAAATATCACACCGTGAGTTCTACATGATATCACTGTGATGAAGCATGTGTATGCACTCAGGATATCACGGCGTGATAAAAAAAATCACGTTGTGATATCATCATGATTTCACCAGGAAATCCCGATTGTTGTCCGGGTGAGTCCTGGATATAACACCAAGTTACACTTAGCGGCCATTCATTAATTACGTAGGGACGATTTTGGCCATTTTTGACCCCCCTGTCCCCATGATCACATAAGATTTTTCGGACTCCCCCTTCCCCTTCTTACGTAAGATTTTATCTGGTTTTAGAAAATGATAAGAATGGCTTTTAGCCCCCCTCCCCCGAGATAAGGGTATGGGGAGATTTTGAGAACCCCCCCTCCCACATCGAGACCCTTACGTAATTAATGAATTGCCCCTTACACGTGTTACGTACGTAACTCACAATATGAGTAAGTAGGTATATTAATATTTATTTATAAAACCATGCATATGAGTATATTAATATTTATTTATAAAACCATGCATTTTCCATGATTTATTTGCAAGGAATGTATGGTTATTCCCCTTATACATTGACAACACTTTCCAAAATTTATTCCAATAATTATTATTTTATATATGAATTTTCCGATATTAAAAAAAAATCTGAGAAGGGGATTTTATATTTATCTGTACTTTTGTTTGATAAATATCATTGCATACCTATCTGCCAGATTCTGAGATTCTGGTTCAGATGTATACTACTTTTCTTTGACCGAAATCTTGTTTGAACGAAAGTAGGTAGATCTCATTTAAGAAAATACGTTTTTTGTATAAAACATGTGAACAAAGCCTTAAGCCTTTGACGTTTCAAAAGAGACGTTGCCACACATTTTCGATCTGGTGAGCTTCGAAGGTCATGTAAATTTTCGATCTAGCGAGATTCGATCTATTGAGTTTCGATGCATCGAGGCGTACCCATATTTGCGTGTTTCAAAAGAAACTATTAAAATAAAACGTACAGTGGCAACTCCTTTTTCTATGGTGGAAGCATGCATGTCAAGCGCATCGTATGTATAAAATTATAATTGTTATACCTAATTATTACATCTTACCTACGTTATTATATAGGTAATTATGCAATAAACTTGGCTTATAACAACAGCAAAAATGTTAATAAATACTTTTCTATGTGTTTTATTTTACGATAACCAAATACAACCTCTATGAATTATTTCGGATATTTATTTTTATCTCCGTAGGTACCTACCTACCATTTCTCTACAAAAAGTCTTATTAAGTCTTAAAAAGTCTTATTAACTCTTCCAGAAGACTCCCAAATCTTGCTATTAGTCTGACTTAATAAGACTTATTCTGACTTTTTCCGACTTAATAAGTCTTATTCTGACTTTTTCCGACTTAATAAGTATTATTCAGACTTTTTCAGAGAAAGTAAGACTTTCTCAGAGAAAAATTTCCACAAGGGAATGGGTCTGAATTGGACTTACTGGATTTAATTGGGCGCGATATAAAACAGAAATTGGTTTTTACTGGTATTTTCCATGATGGAAAATACCAGTTAGGATTCTAATGGTTTTTATTGGTTTCGATTGGATAAAGCTACCTATAGGTAATTTCCAATTGAATTCAATTGGGCATTCCCAGTGTAAGATTCGAAAAATCTGCTAATTGGTTATTCCCAATACAATACAAATATCGCAAGAGGGCTCTCGTGTAGCTGCGCAAAATCAACGAGGTTGAGACGCCATCATAAAGAAAAAACGTCTTTGGACGCCATTTATTAGCGGTTTATTTTATTAGTCGATTTCAGTGTTAAGTGCCTAGTGTTAGTAGTCTACTTATATATTAAAAAAATGTTTATATGTGTAACATTACATTTCAGTGTTAAGTGCCTAGTGTTAGTAGTCTACTTATATATTAAAAAAATGTTTATATGTGTAACATTACATTGTGTAAGATTTAGGGATTTAGGCGATAGTAAGTTATATGTATTAATACATACATATATCACAAAAAAAATAATAAATAAATAAAATTACTTAGTAACAATAAATTTTTTGTCTCTTCTGTAAAAAATGAATTCTGGTTTTTACCCGGTTATCCTTCTGGGATCTAAAATTATTTTTGAATGAAAAATAAACTGGTAGGTATTTTCTAATCCAAATTTTAAAAAATTAATTGGTTTAAATTGGTTGGAATGGGTTTGGTGCTATGAATTACCAATTCATTCCATGTGCATTTCTATTGGATTTAGCCAATAGAGACAAGCGTAGGCATGGATTGGTATTTTCCAATTCAAGCCGCTGACTTCATTGGAAATTACCAATAGGAATTCAACTGGAATGAATTGGTGATTGATTCATAGCGCCAAAACACATTTCAAACCAATTCAAACCAATTCAAACCAATTGCTTATTTTTTATTGGATTCTATTGGTATTTCCCAATTCAAGCCGCTGACTTCATTGGAAATTACCAATAGGAATTCAACTGGAATGAATTGGTGATTCATAGCGCCAAAACACATTTCAAACCATTTAAAACCAATTCAAACCAATTACTTATTTTTTATTGGTTTCTATTGGTCATTTACAATAGGGAACATGGCGATCCCTCGCAGGGGAAAAAATACAAATGCCCACAGTGCGTCACAATCTTTTCTAATATATACAGTAAGAACCGGCATGTGAAAATGCAGCACTCGTTGTGTGCTAAATACGGTTGTCAGCACTGCTCAAAAGAGTTCAAAAGGAGTGACCAGTTGAAAGTCCACGTTCAAAACCAACACGGCTATCCGTCACAAATAAAAAAATACGAATGTTCACATTGCGACAAAATATTCTTGTATAGGACCAGTTTATGCCAGCACATAAAAATAAAACACAATGATTTTAAATACATCTGTCCGCATTGCTTAAAAGCTTTCGCAAGCAGTACTTATTTAAAATCGCACATGGAAAAGCTTCATGGCGATACAAAGTAAAACATAAATGTTCACTTTGCTAAAAAATAACATTTACTGAGAAAAGTCTGAATAGGTACCCAGGCCCGTTCCTGGGGTGTCTGGCGCCTACGTGCAGCAGTCTTTGGTGCGCCCCTTTTATACATAAATATAAAACATTAAATATTTTTATTTTTTATCCCTAAAATTTTAAAAATATATATTTTGCGTATTTGTAATTGAAAATGTAAAAAAAACTGCTGAATTTAAGTATAAAATATA